TTACTTAAAGTTGAAAGAAGTAGTCAGGTAAAATGTATGATGCAGAATAAGACATTCTATGATGAAAAGGGATGAGGAATGGGAACATATTTGTGTGAATGAAAGGTCAAGGTCATGACTTTGTTATTGTATTCCTTGAATATGATAAAGTCATTCAAGCTCGCTAAATATGGGCACATTTTCAGTTGCTTTAATGTTGTGAAACTTATATTCATAAACACGTTCTTATTATGAATTAGGGGTCCTAACCATTATATTGTATATTGTATATTGTATTTTAATTGTAAATTGTTTTTATACTGGTTGAATAAATGAAATGAAAATGAAAAAAAAAATGAATCCCTGTTATGCTTTATCATGTACAGTTTTCACGGAGTGTTAGGGAAGAAGAACGAAATAAAGCAGTGGAAGAAGTAAAGATAAAAGATTCGTTCATCAAAGACAGAGTGCATTCCCCCTTGATGGTTATGACTCTAAAATAAACTGACATTCCCGTAAAAACCTGAGTCGTTGTAATGATTCAGCGTTTCGCCTCACAGACAGTCACAAGAGGTATATAAAGAAAGAGAGAGGGGGCGGGAGAGAGAGAGAGAACACACAGAGAGAAAAGAGATATAGGAAAAATGGAGGGAGCTGGAGAGAGAGAGGGCGCGCGAAGGGGAGAATAATGGAGGAGGAGAGGGAGGGAGCGGGAGAGGGGGACGGGAGAGGGGGAGGGGCGGGAGAGGTAGATAGACGAAGAGAGACGGAGAGAACACAAAGAGAGAAAGAGAGAGGGAGGAAAGGGAAGTGGAGGGAGGGAAGTGGAGGGAGGGGAGAGAGAGAGCGCGCGCGTGAATTGGAGAGGAAGGGAGGACAGAGAAAAGTTGAAGATGGAGGGAGAGAGATAGAGAGAGAGAAAGAAAGAGAGAGGGGAGGGGAGGAAGAGGTATATAGAGAATAAGAGAGGGGCGGGAGGAAGAGAAAATACATAGAGAGAAAGGGAAAATGGAGGGAGGGAGGGGAGAGAGAGAAAGCGAATGGGAGAGGAAGGGAGGAGGGAGAGGAGGGGAAGAGTGAGGGAGATAAAGAGAGAGGGTGCGGGAGAGGGGGAGGGGAGAGAGAGGTAGGTAGACGAATAGAGAGGGGGCGGAAGGGAGAGAGAACACAAAGAGAGATAGAGAGATATAGGAAAAGTGGAGGGAGGGGAGAGAGAGAGAGCGCGCACGCGAATGGGAGTGGAAGGGATGAGAGAGAAAAGTTGAAGATGGAGGGAAAGAGGGAAAGGGAGAAAGGGGGAGGAAGAGGGAGGGGCGTGAGGGAGAGAGAACACAACGAGAGAAATAGAGAGAAAGGGAAAATGAAGAGAGGGATGGGAGAGAGAGAGAGAGAAAGAGAGCGCGAATGGGAGAGTAATTGAGGAGGGAGAGGAGGAGGAGATGGATGAAGATAAAGAGAGAGGGTGCGGGAGGGAGAGGTAGATAGACAATAGATAATTTTTTTTTAAAAACTAGATCAATACATTTAATTATATGTGATTATGTGCCGAGCGAAAAGGAAAAATGAAGGGAGGGGAACATAAAGAGAGAGAGCGACCGAATTGGAGAGGATGTGATGAGGAAGATAAGGGGAATAAAGAGGGAGAAAGAGAGAGAGAGGGGGGATTGAGAGATAGAGCAAGAGAGAGAGGGGCAGGAAAGGGAGAGGTATATCGAAAGAGAGAGAGAGAGAGAGAGGGCGGAAGGGAGAGAGAACACAAAAGCGAGAAAGAGAGAGAAGAAAAGGGAAAATGGAGGGCGGGGGGGGGGGAGGGGGAGAGGATTAAGGCTTATTAATTGTATGAACAAGAGAAGGAACAGCAAAATTTTGATACCGGTTAGTCCTGCACCTAGGAATGACTAAACTATGATTATTACGGAGGGGGCGAAAATTGGGCAAGGAATCTTTAGATGGTGGAAGTAAGTCTCTGTGTCGGGACGTCAGTAGCGAGTGGGCAAACTAAGTATCAAGCTCAATTCTTCTTGCTTAAAGGGAGGGTAGATTTAGACTCTCTAGCCTTTCATCATAGGTGAGAGGGGTGACACCGAGAATGATCTTGGTCACACGCCTCTGAACTCTCTCAACTTTCTCAGACTGTTGAAAATTGATTGAGAAAGACCAGACAAGGTGAGGCATACTCTAGAATGGGACGGATATGGGATTTGTAAATCCAAACTAGATCACTACAAGATGCATTGTATCTCTTCAAGATGCACAACATAAACAATCGTCTCGAAACTTTTTGAACGACATGGTCAATTTGTTGACCCCACTTCATATTACATTGCAAAGTAACTCCTAACAGTGACAGGGGTGTGACTTCTTGAAGAACAGTATCGCCGATCTTGATTTCAGGTAAAGGTGGAGGGTTTCGCATGAAGCATATGTTAATTATCTTATATTTTGACGGTTTGGGCGTCATGTGAGTTGTGCTACACCATTGGTTTAGCTGGGAGACCTGATTTGCAATTGTGATTGCTGAGTATGTTTTCTGAATTCTGCTAGGGTTAGGTCGTCAACATATTTTCATCTATTTGGGGTGAAATTTGCAGCCTCATTGATCATGATCAGAAATAGGATTTGGCCAAGCCTGTTGCCCTGTGGGACACCACATGTTATGTATTAAAGTTGAGAGGTAATCCCACTAAAAGCGGAAAGTTTGAGATCTGTTACTCAGGAAGTCAAACACAACGGAAATGATAGATTGATATATGTATCATCTTAGTAACTAAAACGGTATGATCGATAGCAGCAAATGCTTTGGCATTGTCAACTGTGCAAATTAATGCAATCGTTCCCGATTTGTCAGTTTCACGCATCATACAATCAACCAGGCTGAGGAGGTAATGTACAGTGGAAGAGCCCCTGACACTGCCAAACTGACGGAGGTCTATATGATCGGCGATATCACGTGTAATCCACTTCACAAGAAACTCCTCAAAGACACGATAAAAGACAGGTGTTACATTGTCAGTCTATGCCAGTGGCGGATCCAGGGGGAGGGGGGAAGGGGCGGGGGCCCCGCCCCCCCCCCCTTGGGATTAAAAAAAAAACTTGTTGGGGAGATGGGCCCCCCTGGCGCTCAAGGGGGGGGGGGGTGGGGTGCAATCCTTCAAATTTTCGAGGGCCAAACAAAACAAATGTGCTCACTACCCCCCCCCCCCCCCTCCGCCACTGAGCGAATTTTCGGCCGGCGCGATTTTCAAAATTTTCGGGAGCAAAACAAAATTGGGCCCCCACCCCTAAGAAATCCTTGATCCGCGCCTGGGCGGGCCGCACAGAAACACTGTTAGTAGCAGGTTTGTTAGCGCTAACAAGTCACTAACAAAACAGCCACTAACAACACGGGTAAAATGACCGTACAGGAAGCGCTGTAAGAGCGCTGTTAGACACGCACGCTGTTACAGCCCTGTTAGTGGATTTGAGCCATAGAGTTAGGTAAAATCTATGATTTGTTCGTAGATGTGACGTCATTTCAGCGATTTGTGCATGCGTCGGGTCGTCTGGCGTCGTCAGGCCAAATTTGCGAACCCGTTCATCGATGATTTGGGGTTCGTCAGAAAACTAGTGACCCGTCGTGGCGTCGTCATAATGACGTCATCTTGCTACATCGCAGCGTAAATCAGAAAGTAAAAACAGAAAGAGAAAGTGATAAAATGATAAAACAAAGAATAACATAAGAGAAGATGATGGAAGGAAGAAACAAAGGATAAAATAAGGAAAGACAGAAAGAGAAAGTGATCAAATGATTAAAAAAATAATAACATTACAGAAGATGATGGAAGGAAGAAACAAAGGATAAAATGAGGAAAGACAGAAATAGAAAGTGATAGAATGATTAAAGGTACACACTTAAAATAGTTGGGCAAAAAAATGCCCAACTTTTAACCAACACTGAGCAACATACGGTCCACACAACTATTGGTTAAAATCTGCCCAACTGATGTTGGGTAATCAGTTTGCTATGTGGTTGGGCAAATCAAATTGCCCATCAGTTGGTGACCCATCATATTTTACCCAACTCTACAATTGCCTAACAGTTGGTTATATTTTCAGTTGGGTAATTTCTTGCCCAACCAATTTTACCCAGTTAGATATTGCCCAACCTTCTATTTGCCCAACTTTTGAGTAAGTTTAATGTTGGTTAATTAAATGCCCAACCAGTTTTTACCCAACTCCCAGTCTGCCCAACTATCAAAACACCCATCTATTGGGTAATAATTGCTCAACAATTTCTCTGCAACATCCATTTGCCCAACTCTCAAAACACCCATCTATTGAGTAATAATTGCTCAACAATTTCTCCACAATATCCATTTGCCCAACTATCAAAACACCCATCTATTGGGTAATAATTGCTCAACTATTTCTCCACAATATCCATTTGCCCAACTATCAAAACACCCATCTATTGGGTAATAATTGCTCAACTATTTCTCCACAATATCCATTTGCCCAACTCTCAAAACACCCATCTATTGGGTAATAATTGCTCAACAATTTCTTCGCAATATCCAGTTGCCCAACTCTCAAAACACCCATCTATTGGGTAATAATTGCTCAACAATTTCTCCGCAATATCCATTTGCCCAACTCTCAAAACACCCATCTATTGGGTAATAATTGCTCAACAATTTCCCCGCAATATCCATTTGCCCAACTCTCAAAACACCCATCTATTGGGTAATAATTGCTCAACTATTTCTCCACAATATCCATTTGCCCAACTCTCAAAACACCCATCTATTGGGTAATAATTGCTCAACTATTTCTCCACAATATCCATTTGCCCAACTCTCAAAACACCCATCTATTGGGTAATAATTGCTCAACTATTTCTCCACAATATCCATTTGCCCAACTATCAAAACACCCATCTATTGGGTAATAATTGCTCAACTATTTCTCCACAATATCCATTTGCCCAACTATCAAAACAACCATCTATTGGGTAATAATTGCTCAACTATTTCTCCACAATATCCATTTGCCCAACTTTTTAATTCGTCTGTTGGATAATCATTGCTCAACATTTTTTCCATAACATCTATTTGCTCAACTCTTTTTCTCATCTAAAGGGTAATAATTGCTTAACTGAAACACAAATAACATACACAGTAAACACATGTTGTTGTTTTCATCAGAAACGTAAAAACAAAACTTGTTCACATCAACTACAACATTACAATTTTTGGTGAAAAAAATACAACCTTTTAAAAAAAGTAAATGCAAATATAGCCCCTGTTTGGTGCAGCATGACAACTTTGATGTACACTGTATGTATCCCATGAACTCTGATTTCATACATGAATATGTGCATCATATATATTTTGTGGGTGTGGCATAGTGTTCATTTATCCTGACACACCAATACTCTGCCTTAGAGTGTTACACATGCACACATTTTTTTGAAGTGAAAAAAAAAGAGGAAATAAATTCAAATCCCTCTAGATTATTTGACATGTGCAGAAGTACCACATGAAAGTTTGGCTATCTGTGATGGTGAACAGGTACTGATCAAATAACAAGGATACACACTGCCTACTATAACTTTTTGATTAGATTAAAGACAACAAAAATCAATTGACCCTACCTGCTATACTCAGTTTGATTGATTTTATTGATATTATCAATAATATCAATACAATTTTGCAAAATGTAGATGAAAATGTTGACTTCTCTACTTCTGCTTTGCGCGATGTAAATTAATGCATGCAGTCCATTCAGCAGAGAGTTCAGCGTAGGGTCAATGGACGATACACATTACATGAAAATTAATGGTATATGTAATTTACAATCATATACCCCACTTGCTGTTTTAAACGCAGAAAATATCATAGCTCATGTTTTATGAAGAAATATATCATTTTGATGTACGAGTTATGAAACAGTACTCTTGGGATTAAGACCAAACACGATAAGCATTTGTATACGCCAGTGCAAAAGATTTATAGCCAATAATATGTTTTGTATTTATACTTGGCATATATTCATTTGTTTTCTTAAACTTTCAAGGTGGGGATGTTAAGCAATGATTGGGATAAAACAATTAGGCCTTTATCATTTTTAAAATGTACACAAAGACTTCTGCTGTGTATAAATTCACTCTTTTTTTTATATTATTCAGCGATCCTCACCCCACCCTCAAATCTTCAGTCTTACACAAACATGTCTAAATTATGTAAAATAATGTGCTGAATCCAACTCATAACAGTTTGTCTTTAAGGTTATTTTGTCCAAAATAATACTTTTTTCCAGTTTTTTTTCTCCCAAAATAAACTGGTTCAAGTAGCCAAAATGTGCTAAACGATGATGTGTCAGTTTCATCTGTAGGAAATATATCACCAGTAATCATCCTTGGCGTGAACACATCATGATGGCTTATGGCATGTTCATGAAGGCTCGGACCTCCCGCAGCTTTGGTGTAAGATGCTCCCCATCGGTAAACTGGAACACCACAATCTGGAGAAATTTCCAAACAGAACAGCTTTGCGGCTGATATTCGATATCCATCACATAAAGTGCCTTAAAGCACAAGTCGACTGCTTTAAGCAGTGTTGCGGCAGGAAGTATCCTCCTCTCTACTACGACGTACGCCTGTATTGGTGTGAGAATGTTCCCACGCACAACAACAAATGGCTGTGACCTGACTGCTTCATCAATGTTATCAACATAAGTCTGGATGTCGAGAACCTCCTGTAGTCCAAAGAGAAATCAAGAAGAAATCATTTGTAATTATATGGATTGATATATATATATTTGATGCTTGTCGAATGCTTCTGCTTATGAATCCACAATCACCTACAGGACACCCAAATTTGTTTATGCATGTTCATCCCTGTCCCATCAAAACATTACTGGGTATTCTTACATATCCCTGCGGCAAAGGTCAACTGTACCCAAACTGGTCACGTTCAGAGCATTACATCAACTAAGCTGGAAGGCATATACAGCCTGTTAATATAAGCATGCATTTTTCACATGTCATTTGCAGGTTAAAGGACTTGCTTGCATTCATGAGTGAAATGCGATGTGATGACAAATCTGAGGCCATTTGTAGTTGTACCACAGATAATGACGAACTGACTTATTAAGATTAAAGCGCCTAGTGTTGCCCCTGCAGGGCCTCCTTGGGGACCAGCGTGCCCATTACTAGGAACTTGAAAATGGTTGCTTTTCAAGTTTTACACAAATAAAATGTTATGGCAATGCCTTATCTGGTAAGAACATAGGTATTGCATTTCAACCTCAATTTCATCAGTTGTCCTAGGTTTGAAACTCTTAACAAATTAACTATTGAATTTGTTTGTAATGAAATATGATTACTATGGCAAGATTTTAAACACAAACCAAAATATATGCCTTACATGTCATTACTTTACCACCTCCCCAGCACATATACTTACTGGTTGAACGTCAATGAAGGACGACAATGTTTCTGCAGTGGTGTACGTTCCTCTCTTGGAATCTTTCCTTCCTCGGAACAAGACTGGGAGCATGTAGAATCCAAGATTGCTCTTTTCCTCTAAAAAGAGGGAAACAATGAAAGAGTTAAGTAATTAAGTCCCAATTACATATGAAGAAAAGGTGCAACAGCAAACAGGTCAATTATGGAACATCTTACAAAATGTACAGTTATATACAGCAAATTAAAAATAACGGTCGAATACAACAATTATTTTCTACAAATATGGGTAAAATCACTCAACGTAAATGTCAGTCAGTAATTTGGAGCTCAGCTTTCTGAGTAAAGAAAATCAAAATTGCACAAACTTCAGCATAGCCTTCCCAATGAGCTTTAAACCACCATCCCCACCCCAAAAAGCAAACAAACAAAACAAGCAAGTAAAAGTATGCTAAACCTTTGTCATGGAATCATGTTTTTATCATATGTTGTACATGTATTATATGTTTCAGAGCACTTTTATTTATTTCAGTTCAATTCCTTACAGGGGGGATATTAGACTCAATGTTTGGTCCTGGCCACAAAAATAAACATCATATAGTGTAATTGAAATAAATTCTTTTGACTTTCTCTCAAGTCATTTTCACTAATACTGTCAAATGTGTGTTCTGACACCACATACCAAGACTGAGTTTCCCAGGGTCATGAATGTTTTCGAATTCGGCTCTTGCACTTCTCCAGTTGCCAGTTTTCTCGGTGAAGTCCACTACTTTGTTACAGAATGTGGGCCACTTCTGGTACAGTGCGTTTGCTTTCTCTGGGAACAATTCTGCAAAATCTCCTTCAATCTGTAATTGTTAGGATAGTTATAGAAGCCAGATTAAAGGTAGGATATCTTTCATTTGCATCTTCTCTTTACCATTTTGCAAGGATTTGAATGATACACACTAACAATTATCGGTTCAATAGGGATGCACGATTTCTGTAGGACCGTGTATCTCAGATTGTTAAACGATCCCTTTAAGGAGACTGCTAAAGTAAACCTGCCCATGCAACCAAAAAACAAAAAAGTTACTTCTCAAAACATGCGACTCTAGTTTAATTTAATGTCCTTTCTTGTCACATGCAGAAGAAAAATCAAGGTCCACATACCATTCCAGCATCGAGAAGTCTGGGATATGTGGTAAGAATGTTCTTCACACAACAGTCACTTCTCTTGATCCAGTCATGTCTTTTTGTTGCTGTTTGTTTCATGTAGTCCTTCACCATGTCCTCTGGCTCCTTGTTGTTACGCAGCCATTCTTCCATTGTCGTGATGTTATCATCGTTCACAGACTCAAGATCAGTATCTCCTGGATATAATGCAACAGAACAATCAACAATTAGCATGTATCAACAAGTTTTTGATGATTGTATTGGAAGGGGGGTTTTAGTTGACATTGCTCATGCCCCACCAGTTTGTTATGGCACAGCATGACTTCATCAGCCGGATCTGAATAACTCATAACTTTAACTATATGAAAAAGTAGCCAGAATACCTTGCTTTTGAGACTCTGCCTCGTCTTCAGCTACTGGTACCCTCAGGGACTTCTCCTTTTTTCTGACATACCTCAGATGCTCCTCCAGGTAGCCTGTTGCTGGCCGTCCCTTGGCCCCCACGCAGTACCAGGCCTCCTGCTCAAATAAATTAAAATTCCTTCATAATTCAACTTCAAAAACAGTAATGCTCAACAGCATTTGTTAAACATTAATAATAATCAAATAAAAGCACAATAAAATTCCAGTGTAAACTGTACATTTACATATTTTGTTACATATGTCAGTGTTTGCAATAACAAGGTTTGTCCTCTTAAGTACCTATTTCTAACTGCACACTGTTATATTCCAGCAATGTCATCAGGTCATTGCAAAAACAAAGTGAATGATGGATAATTCTGTGAATATCCATTACTCAATGGCATGCAGACAAAAGTCTAAATATTAAGAGATGTGTCATTACTGGATAATATAACTTATAAACAAGTGGTAAAAATAAACAAAAATATTGCACGATTTAGTGATTGATGCCATATTAGCTTTTCATTATTTGTAAGCTTTTCAGGCCTGTCTACTGTCAAATTTACTATTGCCAGAGATGCTCTTATAATGCTTGTGATAATGTGATACAACATGCAATTGATTGAGCATCTCCAATATAATAAATACAAGAATAACAAAATTGAGGAAGCTTCATAGCAAGTTACACAAAATAATATGATCCAGTATTCCAAAAGTTATTGCATAAACACATAATTTATTTGATTTAGACCTTAAAGTAGCTTATTGCTTCTGGCTCAAACAGAAACTTCTCATAAAATTCACTTTCTTGTAAATGGGGTCTGTGGGGTAGGGACAGATGGAGGTATGGATGGACAACCTAAGAATTAAGGCACCTCCAAGTAATAAATGCCCGCTGTGGTAAGAATCAATCCATAAATCAGTCCAGAAAAAAGTGGTGATCTGAGCCATACCTGAGGTCACATATATTAAGGAAAGCAATTCATGGACAGGACTTACATAGCCAAGTGGAGATTCTGGATCTTTTAAGAAAGGAAAGCTTGTCACAAGGGCATGGGCCATTGATGCCTTCACAAATGAGCTTGGCTTGGTACCATACTCCCGTATCAGGTACTGAGTCAACATATCCACAACAGTATGCCGGTCCCTTTTGCTGCAGAGATTTGTAGCATTGATGTTCCTTAATGCTGCTCTTCCCATGGTGGTCTCTCTCAATATACAAGCAATGTTCTGCAACAGATAAAGGATTTTTTTTTAAAGATCAGTAAATTCAGAATAAACAAGTGAAATGTGACAGCATGCAGTCGGTGGGTATATCTCTGGCTCTCCGACCTCCTACAATAAGCCCATCATAAATCACTCACTGGGCATTCCTTGCAAACTTTGTTCTGATAAAAAATTTCAATGAAACCTTGAAACTGACCTTAGACTAGCTTAAAACCCATAACCCCAACCAAACATTTTCCATAACATTCCTTTATTCATTCATACCAAAATGTACCTACCAAATCATATCACTAGCCATTCTGCAGATGTAGAAATAAAATGGTATTTTTAGTAAAAACTTGAATAACCTTTGAACTGACCTTTCACCTTTGAGCCCTGCTGCTTGTCAGAAATACTGACAGACAGATAACTCCAAGACATAATGCCTCCGGCACCCTTATGTGTGGGAGGCATAAAAACTGATGAATGATGGTGACTCGACATGCCCACTCTTCAATTGTATCAGCCCACTATATACATAAACTTACGAAATGCACTTTCTTGACCCGTTTCAGGGGAGGATGTTGATCAGGACTCTTGGATTCTGGGGAGTCGTAAAGTGGCGTATCCAAACTGGGCTGGGAAGGGCTTTGTCTGGGACTCCACTCACTTCCTGTTACACAAGAGAGATCTGAGCAGTCATCTAAGGAGAACACTGATGGGCTTCTTGTCGACGTTGATGCTTGTTCAATGCTTTGTTGATTTTCAGCATGATACTACAATAAATAAATGAAAAATAATTGAACTTTCAATGTACATGTAAATGACTGATTATTCTTTACATTATTAATGACACAAACAGCCCCAGGTTAGACTTTAGTATCAAGTTTATTCCTTGAAGGGGAAAATCATTCTCACTGTTTCTGTACCCTTGTCCTGTTTAAAGCAAACCCATAATTGAAAAGTGGTCACTCATGAGCCGAAGCTTCTTCAGTACATCTATAATATAATAATATCCAGTTAGGAACTTTCACTTTAGGCAGGAACATGCATTGGTAAAAAATAGCACATTTCCGGGGCCTCAATGAAGTACATATGCTAGAAAAACTTGGCATGAGTCATGGTACATTTAAGAAATTACAACATAATATGAATGAATGCAAATATAACAGACACATTTTCAGATACAGAAACAATGAAGTTAATAACGAGTTAAAAAATTCAAACCAGATATTTACTGTAAAATTTTCATTGGAATAATCAAAATTTGTTAGCAAGTCAGTACAGATCGATCAAGGTTAGCTTCTTAGCTATTTTTTCAATCAAAATGTGTAGAATGATACACTAAGAACTGATTCATGGATATAATTGTAATTGGAATAACAGTTTCTTTCTTTTGCTTTGTTTTGGTTCTGTTCTCTAAGACAAAATTTGCAAGTGCACCTGTAATGTCTAGTTGTAAAAATATATCACTTGCTTGCAACGTGTTGCCTACACGTACCTTCTTGTTCCTAGATGAATGAATGGTGCACCACAATATACAAGCAGCGCCCTCTTCCACTATAGGACTGGACAGCATTGACTGGCCTGTGATCAAACAGGTCACACCATTCAACAGCAGCTTGTGCTTCCTCTCTGCCCACCTGTACTGCAAATGCTTCAACATGTCTGTTGAAGTACAAGGTCTGATACAGCCGAAGGAGCAGATACAACTTTTCTTGCACCACTACAATATGCTGAACACGTCCAAACGTGGGTCCATCATCATCAGTCCAATATAGAAGTACATCAACACCTGCCCGGAACTCATATCCATGAATGTCCACTTTCCCAGCAACTGTAACTTCGGTTCCCCTTCCACAGTTAATTTTTTTGCAAAGTGCCTCATCATCAAGTAGATCACCAAGCATTGCTGCAGCTTGCTGTGACACATTGATATCTTGGCTATCCAGTGACTGATTTGATACTGACCTGTAGCACCGTGCCATTTGGTATCTGTTAGCCAATGTTTTGACAATGTTTTGGTAGTTGCAAGATACACTGGCAATCTGCTTGAAAGGTCTGTGCATTGCTTCAAAACGCAATGCTGAATACTGGGTCAGTGGCCCAAGGTGTTTCAGTGCACGTGGGTAATGCACAAGAAAGTGCTGCTTCGGAGTTAGACTAGCTTCAGGGAAGAGCTGCATGAAGAGCCTGTGGTGATCATCAATCATTGCCTTCAGGACATAGATGGCAGACTTACTGATACTGGGACTCATAATGATTTTGAAGATGTCAATGATTGACAGTAAGAGTTCCCACTCATCACACATCTCATCAATCTTGTCTCCTATCATGAGAGGGATGTTGTATGCAAGGCACGTCATCTGTGCTGATGTCTGTCCACTGGCAGAATATGGATTCTTCAGTGATGCCTGCCTGATTGGGCTTGGTCTGTTTTTGCGGTCCACAAAGCCAAAATTGAATGAGGATATTCTACTGTTCACCTCATCCAGTGTTATGAAACCCTTCTGAACAAGTTTACTCAAAACAAGGTGCATTTCCAGGGGCAAGACTCCCTCTGTAAAATCATGCATTACATCTGGACATAAGTTTTGGGTGGAATGGTAGTAAGGCAATTCATTCAAAACTGTTGCATGCTTCAAGCCAGATTCTGACAAGGGCTTTTGAAGATCTGTATCATAGTTTATTTCATCACGGAGATATTGGGCATCCTCTTTTGGCTGTTTCTGAAGCAACGAGCGATGCCCTCTACAGAATCTACAGTAATAGTTGGCACGGAAACAGGTTGTACATCCCAGCATGGCATGAATGCCAAGATTGTCCCCTACAACTTGGAATAAGTAGGGTTTGACCCTACCCTCAAACTCTTTGCACTTGATAGTGAGTCCATCAGTCCACATCTGCTGCAGATCATCCTTGATTACCTTCAAAACTTCTGAGATGCCATATTTACTCAAAAGCGGAGATGTGATCATAGCTGTGAGCATGATATTTTCCAGCCTAGCCTGGTATTTCCTGGGAAGGGATAACACACTTGTATAAAAGGCACTTACCTTGTGTTTGCCGCGTTTTGACCCAAGCGGATTGGCTGTCTCAAACTCATCATTGTACAACAACAGAGGCACTAAGAATTCACAGTCTTGTCTAGCAGTAGCTTCCTGCCTTTTATAATAGTGACCATCTTTGAATGAATACAAAACATCATTATCTTTTGATCCTTTTTGAGACAGTATGGCGTTCATTACTCCTGGTCGCTCTAAGTATTGTTTAATAGTGTCAGCTAGTGGTATATATTGAAAGGTTTCTTTTTGTGTGCTTTGCAGTGGATCACCTGTCTTTTGATCAATTTTTGGTTTTAAGCAAGTTCCCAACAACACCTCACAAGGCTGAATGAAATCACCTTTCTCAGAGAAATATTTTTTCTGTTGAGTATCTGACATGAGCTCTGAAAATGGATTCTTTGAATTCTCGAATACATCTTGTATATCAGATCTCAGCTCACTGTTAGCTGCATATTGTGGCTCACTTAAGATATCCATCACATCCTGTTGCACAGTTTGTAACACAGAAATAACCAAATCTTGTGCGGTTTGAATGACCTTGTTGGTGTGTGAAGCAGGCACATTAGTCCTTGCCCTGAGTTCTGCTACAAACTTTGCTGCAATATCAGGTAGTCTCTCTGTTTGCGTTTCAAAAGAGACATCTTCCTGCTCACTGCTTTCTCCAACAAACAATGCCTTTTCCTGGTGCAGTTGTTCCAAATTCCCTTCAGTGTTGTTATTCTTTCCTACATGTAGAACAGATCCTTCATAACAGGTTTCACTTTGGTGATCTGGAACTGCTTTTGTAGTTGTGCTTGACGTCTTTATCCGTGCAGCGTGCTTTGAAATGAGATGTTTTCTATATCCCGATAATGTACGAAATGTTAGTCTACATGCCCCTTGCATGCATGTTATACTTACATTTTTTCCCCTGGTTGTTGTATGTGTGTATTTTAAATGATGGAATAGGCAAGAAATATCCCCCCTAATTAAATCAAGACACTGAAAGCATCTGTAACTATCCATAGTGAGATATTGTGCCACATCTAGGGCCTACCTCTGCACGCCACCCAGCGAGAAACTTCAATCGAGGTCCAATCTTGGGTATGAAGGATGTGATTATACTTTCACTTAGAAGGGGAAGGGTTTCCACATCAACTTCATTTTCTGGAGAAGAAGAGGGAGAGATTGATAAATAAGGCTTAGTGCAGCATAAACTGATTGTTTTCATATAATACCACAAACACACGTATGGTTGCGCAAATTAAACAAAAGTATATGTTTTAGATAATGATAAGCTGTAAACATTTGCTCATGTTCCAGCTAAAATATCTTCCATTTTGAATAAATCGCATTTATAATCAATGTTTTCTTATTCCACAAGGGTCTATGAAAATCTGAATTTTCAAATGCGATTTTCTCGAAAATTTGGTCTTCGTATAGAAAACTTACTTTTAGATCATACTAGCGAATTGTATCAACTAATTGCTATTTATTTTCAGGTGATGTTACTAACATCCACACAATCAAATTAAGAATGGAAACCTTTTCTAAAGTCATACTAGTAATCACATTAGTTTAGTCAAATTGTGCCTAATTTTTAACAATGTTGGGGCCTATTTAAAGTATAAAGATTAGTTGCATCAGCAATGAATTTGATTTCAAAGAAAGTCATTCAACTTACCAAATGAATCAGAATGATTTGAGAGTTAGCATAGAGGTCAATGTATGCTGATTGGTTAATTAACATTACTAATTCATTGATAATCATATGTGTCTTCTCCATGTGCACTGTCATGCCTATTACTTCAACTTTAAATTGCCATACCGGTAATTGTTTTTTTCAACCTTTTGCGGCTGCCATGATATTGTCTGCATTAGTAGCCATGTTTCTCAGCTTTAGTATGACAAATAACCTAGCTTTATCTGACCAGGGTTTCTCAAAAAGTCTAGCACTCAAGCCTTTCACAGGCCACTTACAGTACCATACAACCATATATAAATTATAGTGTGTTACCTTGAATAGAGGCAACTGACAATTGTTTATCCTAGAAAAGATAATTTGTGGTGTTTAATAATTCTTTTGTACAGCTTATTGTTCAGTGGTGTGAAACATTAAAAAAAATGCATGTGCTGGAACATTTCACTGATATGAAGCAAAATAGGACAGTTAATCCTGTACTAACGAATGTCCTTCCTCCATGTGCACCTCCATCCCAAAATCGAATCAGTTCGTTGGCTTTGCAACTTGCAAGATACATGTACATGTCCCAAGTTTGGATGGTAATCCGTCCATCGGTTCTAATGATTTCATTGAAATCTGGACATGTAGTAAAATAGTGTACAATTTTGTCGGCATAATTTGGTGGCTTAAGCATCTGTAATTTTTCCATATTTAAAAATTATTTTCAGAAAAAGATTTTTTTAAATGAGAAAAAATGTACCCATGTTAAAAATTGTGCCCATTCGTGTACTACAGCGAGGTCACTGCAATTTCGAAAACCACCACAGCCTCTTGGTTTTGAATTAGGCTATTAATATGGGCTAAAATGTGGGTCAACTGCCTTTTAGTTGTGACAAGGAATATCGCAATAGCACATAATTAATAGCCCCATTTAAAACCAAGAGGATGTAGAGTCTATGCTCTGTAAAACAAAGTTAGGCAGATGTTACTGGGCAAATCAAAGTTTGGCGCGTTTTTGTCAAATAATTTCTCCCAACCATTTACTGTATGAAGTTACCTAATAAAAGGTCAGAAATAAGTTGGGTAGGTGTTACTTGGTAAAACTGATGTTGGGCAAATTTTGTCCAACAATTGGGTTATTTTCTACCAACCATGTAGTTACCGATGAAATAATTGGGTAATATTTTTGGGCAAATTAAAGTTGGTCATTTTTGTCCAATAATTGGGTTATTTTCTACCAACCATGTAGTTACTGATGAAAGAATTTGCCCAACTAGTGTCGAATATACTACACATTATGGTGAGAATTGGGTGAATTTCCTATTGGGGTAAATTTTGTTGGTTAAAAGTTGAGTATTTTCTTTCATCCAACACTGGGTAAATCATGCAAAATCTTTAATTTACCCAATAGTTAGTCGGACACATAAGTGCCCTCATGTTGGGTAAAAATTGGGCACTTGCCCAACATTTTTTTAGAGTGTTTGGATTTCAAAGTCCTGTAGAAAATGAAAGGGCAAAATCCTTAACATGGCAATGGGCAAGACAAATTGTCTCACTTTTTGAAATCTAGACTTCTAGATCTACAGGAAAATGAAATCATAAGATGATCTTCCACAAAATAATGTTCATAAAATTGTACATTATTTGACAACTTCAATTTTCTGATGAATCATTCAGTTCAGTGTTGATTATTAAATATAAGTAGGCCTAGATCTAGATCTAGACCTAGACTAGATCTAGTATAGTAATACCAATTTCAGATAACAGAGATAATTGTTCAAAATTACACCAGTCCCACGTACTGTAATACTATCTGGGTACACACCTACAAGTATGTGGTCCAATGTATTGGACCCACAGAACTCTTAAATACGTATTTAAGAGTTCTGTGATTGGACCCCATACAACCCATGATCCATAGAAAATGGAGGGTATTGTGTTATGTATGTATTGTAGCAGGAAACAGCACAGAAATCCGGGTTTTGGCCTGGCTTTGGGTTTTGTAAAATCTTGAACAAAATATTTTTAAATATTCATTTGTGATCTAAAATTCATGGAAACAGTACAATTTGAATTTGATATCTATATCAATCAAATATTAGTTTGGATTAGTAACACATGCATTAAAAGAGCAAATTTGAGGCAAAGTTTAATAGACCAATTGAATTGAAGCGTATTCATTAACCATTGCTGAGGCATATAGAACTAGTCTACATGTTGCCCATGTGTTATGGATATGGGAACAAGTACCTGTTGATCATGTTCTAAACTTCTAATCTCAATAAGATGTGAACGTACCTTCTAGTATCTTTAACACTGACGGACATCCCCACCTTTGAACGATTTTGGTGAGAGGGTCTATGAACCCATCTTCACTTGAACTATCTCCGCAGCAGTTGTCGAGCTCCATTTTTAGACCCTCAGGCTCTAGCATGCAAGACTCCGATATGATGCGTATGTACGTACGACGTACGTACAGGCTGCTAGTTACGTTGGTGTATCATATAGCTCGAGCTCCCGGGCCGGGACGGCCGCGCCGGCTAGTATACCGAGTAAATAGAAATAGTACTGCGCATGGCATGCTGATCGCGAGCGACCAGGCCATGTGCGCGCTACCCCAAGACCAATACCAGGCAAACTTTACCCAAGTCTGGTTAAAAACGTAAGTCTAGTCCCCATTGAAGGTTTCCACTGCCATTTACGCATGCGCGTAATTGACGATGATAGTGTGTACGTTCCATGATCATTACTTACGTAGATTATGTAACTCTATAGGCCTACATGGTTAAGATGGCTCAGTTTTCACAAAAGATAAATCTTGGACTCTTTCAGCATCAAACTCGCACAAATTCATCGTCGCTTCAACACTCTGTTATTATAATTTTAAAATAGAAGTAAATGGTTACAATTACAGGAGAGATAATTTCAATTTTTCATAGCAATATTTACACAGCATATTGTGAGCTAAAGAAAATTGAGCTAAATATATTTGGTAAAAGTCGGTGGTCAATTACTACCCTATATAAGCAAACAAAAAAGGCGCAAAGTGAAATTGGGTAACAGGCGTTGGTCAAATCAGTACCCAATGTATGAGCAAACAAAAATTGAGCAAAGTAAAATTCGGTAAGTGGTGATGGGTAATTATTACTCAGCATATGAGCAAACAAAAATATGGGCAAAATAAATTGGGTAAGGGGCGGTGGTCAATTATTACCCAATTATGAGCAAACAAAAATTGAGCAAAGTAAAATTCGGTAAGTGGTGATGGGTAATTATTACTCAGCATATGAGCAAACAAAAATATGGGCAAAATAAATTGGGTAAGGGGCGGTGGTCAATTATTACCCAATTATGAGCAAACAAAAATTTGAGCAAAGTAAAATCGGGTAAGTGGTGATGGGTAAATATTACTCAGCATATGAGCAAACAAAAATATTGGCAAAATAAATTGGGTAAGAGGCGGTGGTCATTTATTACCCAATATATGAGCAAACAAAAATTTGAGCAAAGTAAAATTGGGTAAGTGGTGATGGGTAAATATTACTCAGCATATGAGCAAACACAAATTTGAGCAAAGTAAAATTGGGTAAGAGGCGGTGGTCAATTATTACCCAATTATGCGCAAACACAATTTGAGCAAAGTAAAATTGGGTAAGTGGTGATGGGTAATTATTACTCAGCATATGAGCAAACAAAAATTTGGGCAAAGTAAAATTGGGTAAGAGGCGGTGGTCATTTATTACCCAATATATGAGCAAACAAACATTTGAGCAAAGTGAAATTGGGTAAGAGGCGGTGGTCATTTATTACCCAATATATGAGCAAACAAAAATTTGAGCAAAGTAAAATTGGGTAAGTGGTGATGGGTAATTATTACTCAGCATAAGAGCAAACAAAAATTTGGGCAAAGTAAAATTGGGTAAGAGGCGGTGGTCATTTATTACCCAATATATGAGCAAACAAAAATTTGAGCAAAGTGAAATTGGGTAAGAGGCGGTGGTCATTTATTACCCAATATTATGAGCAAACAAAAATTTGAGCAAAGTAAAATTGGGTAAGTGGTGATGGGTAATTATTACTCAGCATAATTATGAGCAAACAAAAATTTGAGCAAGGTAAAATTGGGTAAGAGGCGGTGGTCAATTATTACCCAATATATGAGCAAACAAAAATTTGAGCAAAGTGAAATTGGGTAAGAGGCGGTGGTCATTTATTACCCAATATATGAGCAAACAAAAATTTGAGCAAAGTAAAATTGGGTAAGAGGCGGTGGTCAATTATTACCCAAATATGAGCAAACAAAATTTGAGCAAAGTCAAATTGGGTAAGTGGTGATGAGTAATATTCCTCAGCATCTAACAATTACCCAACTACTTGGTAAATTGCTCTCAACTCCTTGGAACGATGTTGTTGCTAAATGTATAATAATTGGGTAAATATAATGCCCTGAAATAGATTGGGATAAAAATTACCCAACTTTGGAAACGATTTCTCGACCAACCATCAGTTGCCCAACGAAATTTACCCAACTCGCAGTGGGAATGTGCCAAAATTACACAACTACAGGCAAAAATTACTCAATCCTAATTTGCAAAATAATGTTGGTAAATTTCTAGGCGAATTTCTACCCAACCATCAGTTGCCCAACAAAATTTACCCAACTCGCAAAGGAAATGTGGCAAAATTACACAACTACGGGGCAACTGGTTCCCAACCCTCATTTACCAATACTGTTGGTAAATATCCGCCCAATAATTAAGTAAAAATAATTGCCCAATATTGGTTAAAACACTTAAATGCTTAAATGGGTAATAATAGCCCAGAATAACGAATTTTTTTAACCAACCAACAATTACCCAACTAAATTTACCCAACATTTTAAGAGTGTAATACAAAGTTTTGGTATGGGGTCATGAATTTGGTTCAATTAAACATATTGAAAGCATATGCGATTCTACAATGTTCAGTGATCATTGTCGCAGTTGAAATTGAGTCTAAAGAGCTGAAATTGTAAATAATAAACTCTTTATGTTGTAGCTCCCTCTCAAGGTCAATATATTATTTAAGCTATAAAACAATTTTTATTGAGCAAAATCGACCGATTAGATATTTCCGTTTGGTAATTACATAGCACAACTTCATATTCTGAGATTTTCAGGGTCGCAGTTACCATTGTATGGCCGTAGGCGCTATTTGAAATTTATCAAAATTTACCGGGAGCACCGTTAAATTTTTATATTCAATTTTTCTCAAAAGCAGAAGTGTTTTAGGGGCTAAATTTTCTAGTGCTTATAATACCACAGGGGCATCCAAATATATCAAAATTGTAAAGAATTACTATCCGCCAAATTTCCAAAGTTTCCCAAAACTTTGTATTACCTTTAAAAAAAGAATATCATAAGAGAAGATGATGGAAGGAAGAAACAAGAAACAAGATACAAGATACAAGATACAAGATATTTTATTTGGTCTTTGCAAACAAGTTACATAGAAAATTGTTTTCCACTGGCGTTACAGTCATATTCAACAAAATATGTAATCACAAGAAATAAATACATCTCAAGGAACAAATACATGCAAAAGGTAATCGACAAAAATGGTCATTGGTACATGTACTTCAAATCATGAGTTTCAGAATTAAGCCTTGGTCATTGGTATTTCAAATTATACAATTAATTTCCAACGCAGAAGTTTAACGTTTAACCTGTGAGTTGAATTTATGAACAGAGTCTGGTACAAATGAATATCTGAATCGTGAAAGCCGGGTTGGGGTGGGGCGAAGTCGGATACCAGAACAATTAAATGAATAAAATAAATGAAGTGGGTGGGTATTGTCTTTCATGATTGCATAGACTTATCAACAATTTGCTCAGTACAATGAGACTCGACAGAAGCTAATTCTACCCCAAACAAAGGACAAAATAAGGAAAGACGGAAAGATAAAGTGATATAATGATTTAAAACCCAAAGAATACCAAGAAGGTGAAAGAAGGAAAAAACAAAGAATAACATTAGAAAAGACAGAAAGAGAAATTTATAGAAAGATAAAAACAAAGAATAACATAAGAAAAGATGATGGAAGGAAGACACAAAGGATAACATAAGGAAAGACAGAAAGAGAAAGTGATAGAATGATAAAAAAGGGAGAAAGTTATAACGCACGCAAGAAATTATTCACTAACATTGTCACTATTGGTGCCGCTGGCACTGTTAGTGAGTTGTTAAAACATCCCCCTGTCCACACACAACATTTTCCGTGACTAATCATGATTAGCTATACCGTTTCGCGATAGTGATACCGTTTCGCGATAGTTTTACGACCAAAATTGTAGGTGTGGACGCTCACTAACGATACGTCGTATAACGAAACTAGTCTAACGAAACGCAGGTTTGGGCATCGTTTCGAACTGAAACTCAATAAAGAATCACGCCTAATCACGGAAATGTTGTGTGTGGACAGGGGGACCCCCTGGGGGAGTGTAACTAGTGTAACTAACTGGGCGGGGCTTAACGTGACCTCGAGCGAAATGAGACCAGACCTCTTATCACTATCGCGAAACTCTATAAAGAATCACGGAAAATGTTGTGTGTGGACAGGGGGCATTTTATACGATGATTCTTTAGTGACGACGTTTCTTGTGTGTGGACATCCTGGAATTTATACGATGATTCTTTATACGACGTATCGTTATAGAGTTTCGCGATAAATTGTTTTGTGTGTGGACACGCTGCATTACCACTACTGTTGGCTTCTGCGCGGCCTTGAAATGTTAGGCTAACAGCGCTGTTTGTGAATTCAACTAACATTACGCTTATGTGCGGCCAAAACAGCCCTATCGGTACTGTTAGCGCGCTGTTTGCGTTAACAACGTTTCTGTGCGGCCGCCCCTGGTCTATGCACGCCTGTCTACTCGCGCAACTAGTGACACCTTGGTCCCACCCAGGCCCCCAAGCTCCGCCATTTTGTCCGGATCCATTAGAAGCCAAAATAAGCTACCTTGCATAATTCATGAGCCTTATGAATTATGCATTCTGTAGGATGCTCCCCGCGAAAAGTGTACTGTAATGATTTTCACTACATGGTAAAAGACAATACGCGTATCAGCATAATCAGAGAGGTCAAATAATCTACTGTACGGAATTATGGGTAATTTATTCATCACGCTGCGCGCTAGCAACGCAAGTGATTCAGCGAATCAGCGTGGATTATTCTGATGCGATCACCGTTAGGTGAAATACGCGCTCAAACTTGTATTATCGATCACCACTATAACAGCTGGTGTACCCAGGATGCATCTGGGAAGTGGACCTTAAGTTCCACTCGTTGTTGTGTTGCTTGAGTTTTAATGGCATGTATCATTCATTTATGAATATTTACGCCAACTAACTTAAACATCATTACCACCTCTACTTATTTAAATATTCCAGCATTATATTTTTCTGAAAACCTCTTTATTGACAAAAAAATGATAATAACCATCCATTTTTCAACATATTCTCTGGCTATGATTATACATTTTAAATAATATGCTGATGTATTAAGTTTCCTTATTTAAGACCCCGCCCCCCCCCCCCCCCAGGCCCACTCGGTGTTATTTAGGGTACGGATTATGCTTGTTCCCTCTTTTTGAAAGCACCCCCTATCTGAGGACTGCCAACATTTCCGAACCCCCCTTTCGCGGGCTCTTCCTGCCTTGGAGACCCCCCTAAATTATGAAAAATGCTCAATGTACCCCCCTAAATTCGAAATAATTTCTCAGGAGTCCAAAGAGATGAGAGAAAAAAAGAAAAACACCCCCTTTTTAAAGAAATCTCCGGGTGAAAAGCTAATACACCCCTTTTTTTTACAATTCTCGGGCCGGACTTTGACGCACGAAAACTACCCCTTTAGCGGACATTTTGGTAACACGCATGGGGTGGGGGGGGGGCGGGTTTTTAGACAAACAAATTATGTGGCACAGTGGATGGATTTTCCCCATCCACTCTCATTGTGACTTTCAAAATTCCCTTTCTCTCTCTTTCTCCGTCTTT